TCTGACGCCCTCCTCCCCGCTCCGACGCTCTCGTCCAGCTCCGACGCCCTCGTCCAGCTCCGACGCCCTCCTCCTCGCGACGATTTGGGCTTCGGTTTTGAGGTTGCTGAATCGAGTCAGGTAGTGATTTTTTTTACTATTTTTCTAAAGACGAAAATTTAATAGCGTTAATAGCAAAATCGAGTCTGGTTTTATTAATAGCGTTAATAGCGTTAATATCAATCACTTAAGCAAAATCAAGTCTGGTTTTGTTCTTTGACTTATTCAGTTTGTTTGCTAACTTGATCTTATACCTCTGCTGGAAATGGGAAGGGTGTATGAGCAAGTGAAAGTGTACATAGGTGTTTGATGTAATAAATTTGAGGTTGTCGTGGCTTTCTTTAGGTTTGTTGTTCTTTCAATATTCATGTACAAAACTCTCTCTTTTTTTTGGCTCTTGTAAGCTGGTGGTTTCAATTTCTATTTCTTTTTAATTTTGTTATGGCATTAATCATCTATTTGTGCCCGTTGACGAAAGTTCTGAAATGAAATTGTGCTATATAGGACAGTTGAAGCATTGATATGTGGAGGGGATTGGATGCGAAAAGTCCATGGTATAAAGAAAAAGAAGGTAATGATTTATTTGAATTCAATGCAAAAAATTAGAGTTCATAAAATTTATTAATATTGTGTTAATTTGTATGATTACAGGTTGAAGATGAGATAAGAGAAGTGGAGATTACCTTACCAGAATGTTAATTGCAGGTATGATTATATTTTGGAGGAGGTTTTGATCTTATTTCGTGTGTTTTTTCTCAAGTTTGATTATTTATTGATTTGTCATATCTTTCAGTTAAGCCACACCATATAAAAGTCTTTATGATATCCTGCAATTTTTAAGGCTTTTAGCCTTTTATCATCTTCATATGATATTATCTTGTGTTCTCATTGAGTTGGTTTCAATTTTCAGGATTTGATTGACAAAGAGCATTGTAAGAGGGCCAAAATAGCAAACTGTGCGAATCTGGAGTCTTAGAGAAACACTTTGTTATTCAATGAGCTTTGGGAAAGTTATAAAAACTTGCTTATGTATGAGTTAAGACCTTGATGTGTAGCAAATTTCACTTTTAAGTACCTCTTTGTTTCCTATGTAAGTGGTAATGTGATACTGACATACTGGGTAAGATGGTAACTTGATAATTGCAATATTGTTGTAATTGTGTCAAGGATTTTAGACATGTTAAGAGTTTATGAAACTATGTTTTTCTTGCTTTATTTTATAGGAATGTTTCTCTAATTATGAGCTATGTTTTCTATTGTAGAAGATATTACTGTGTTTGTGAGTTTAGAGTATTAAAAAAATCTATTACACTGCTTTATTGTATTTTGATTGGTAGAATATAAAAACTACATTTTGTTTATTGATTATATTTATTTTTTTATGATTTTCGAACTATTAGCAAATACATATCGAATATTTAACGAAAAAATCGAAATCAAAATTACCGAATAATGTTAAACGAATATTCGCGAATATTTTTCGAACAACAATATAAGTAAACGAATCGAATTCGAATTTGCATAAGTATTCGAGCCGAATTCGAATACGAATACGAATAGCGCAATATGAACCGAATTCGAATTTGAACCTTGCACTATTCGTTCAAATTCGATTCGATTCCACCCCTAACAGCAGCTTACTTGATCAACCGAGGTCCTTCGGTTCCATTGGAGCACAGAATACCAGAGGAGGTATGGTGCGGAAAGGAGGTAAAACTTTCACATCTTAAAGTTTTCGGTTGTGTAGCTTACGTGCATATTAGTGATCAAGGCAGGAATAAGCTTGATCCCAAGTCAAAGAAATACACTTTCATCGGCTATGGTGAAGATGAGTTCGGCTACCGCATTTGGGACAACGAAAATAAGAAAGTGATCAGGAGCAGAGATGTGATATTCAACGAGAAGGTGATGTACAAGGACATGCACAAAACAGATGACTCAGAGAGCGAGTCAATATTTGTAGATGCAGATGATGTCCCGAGTAACCTCTCGGAAGAACCCAATGCAGAAGGTCCTTAGCCAGAAGAACCTGTTGGACAAGATGGTGTGCAGGAGCCCGACGCACCAGCTCTGATATTAAGAAGATCTTCTCGTCCTCCTGTACCTAACAGGAGATATATGAACTATCTGTTACTGACAGATGGTGGGGAGCCTGAAAGCTATGATGAAGCTTGTCAGGGTGGAGATGCGAGCAAGTGGGAGCTTGCTATGAAAGATAAGATGAAGTCTCTCATCTCAAATCAGACGTGAGAACTAGCTGAGTTGTCCACGGGTAAGAAGGCACTCCACAACAAATGGGTGTACCGGGTGAAAGAGGAGCAGGATGGTTCCAGAAGATATAAAGCCCGACTAGTTGTCAAATGATTCCAGCAGAAGGAAGGAATTGATTATACCGATATTTTCGCTCCCGTGGTGAAGCTAAATACTATCAGAACAGTGATGAGTATTGTAGCAATTGAAGATCTTCATCTCGAACAATTAGACGTGAAGACGGTGTTTCTTCACGGAGATCTAGAAGAGGAGATATACATGCACTAGCCAGAAGGTTTCTCAGAAAAAAAGAAGAAGAACCTGGTGTGCAGACTCAAGAAAAGCTTGTATGGCCTGAAACAAGCCTCAAGACAGTGGTATAAGAAGTTTGACGGCTTCATGCACAAGAAAGGTTTCCAGAAATGCAACGCCGATCACTGTTGCTACTTCAAAAGATATCAATCCAGTTATATCATCCTACTGTTGTATGTTGATGATATGTTGGTTGCAGGAGCAGATATGGAGGATATCAGGAGTTTGAAGCAGTAGCTATCAAAGGAGTTTGATATGAAGGACTTGGGTCTAGCGAAGAAGATCCTTGGAATGCAAATCACGAGAGATAAGAAGAGAGGTCTCTTTCAGTTATCTCAGGCGGAGTACATCAACCATGTTTTGCAGAGATTCAACATGGGCGACGCCAAGCCAGTGAGCATACCCTTGACCAGCCATTTTCGTCTATCAAAGGATCAGTCTCCTCAGTCAGACGAAGAGAAAGAGAGTATGGCTCAGGTCCCTTACGCCTCAGCTATTGGAAATTTGATGTACGCAATGATCTGTACGAGACCAGACATTGGCCATGCAGTGGGAGTGGTCCGCCGGTTTATGTCGAATCCAGAAAAAACTCATTGGGAAGCGGTCAAGTGGATTCTGAGGTATCTACGAGGCACCACACAAAAGTGTTTGCACTTTGGTAAGGGAGAGGTAGAAGTGCACGGGTACGTAGATGCAGACTTTGGAGGTGAAGTCGATCACCGAAGAAGCACCACCGGCTATGTATTCACTGTCGGAACTACAGCTGTTAGTTGGATGTCACAGATACAGAAGATTGTTACTCTGTCCACTACAGAAGCTGAGTATGTTGCAGTGACTGAAGCCAGTAAAGAGATGATATGGCTTCAGGGTTTGTTAACAGAGCTGGGATTCAATCAGGAAAAGAATGTTTTGCACAGTGATAGCCAGAGTGCGATACACTTGGCGAAGAATTCCGCATTTTATTCTAGAACGAAGCATATTGCGCTTCGGTACCACTTTATCAGATCCCTGTTGGAAGATGACGTGTTAAAACTGGAGAAGATTCCAGGAAGTAAGAATCCAGCAGATATGTTAACAAAGACAGTGACCGTTCAGAAACTGGAGTTGTGCGCAACTTCAGTTGGTCTTCATGCATGAGTGATAAGGGCGGAGCCACACAGGAGGATGAGCTTGATGAGAGAGCCTGCTGACGACGGTTTGATTTCCAAGTGGGAGATTGTTAAAATCGAGTGTAGATCAAACCTCTGTTCTAGCGAGGTTTAACGGAAGCAGGCGAGCACAAGGTCTTCAGGCGAAGCTCGAGCAGGCGGATTCTTCGTGCAGGCGAGTTTTCGAGGCTGGCGGATTTCACGCAGGCGAGCTCATGGGCGAGTTCTGTCAGACGGATCTCGAGCTGGCGATCTTGTGGTCGAACCGCTGCAGGCGAGATCGATATCCAGTCTGTCGACAGCCCAGCTAGGGTTTCCCTATAAAAGGGAAACCCTAGGGCTCGAGCACAGTGCAGCTTTTCCTTTTCTCTCTCTTCGATTCCAGGCGGCGGCGGCAACTGTTCCCAGTTCCTCCTCGTGTTCGTCTTCAAGCGGCGGCGAAATTTTTCCCTTCGGTTCTCTTTGATCTCCAGCACCTCTCACGTGATTGAAAGGTTCAAGCGGCGGCGAAATTTTTCCCTTCGGTTCTCTTTGATCTCCAGCACCTCTCACGTGATTGAAAGGGGGGGTTAAAGAAGAGGGAAATAGAAGAGGGGTGATTTAAGAGGGGTACTTAAAGGAGTGGGGGAATCTTACTGTAGCTACAGTATTAGCCTTAGAATTTATTGAGGAATCTCAAGTTTGAGATTCGCTCTTAAATTGTAATTTCTTGTTAAGATTAATAAGAAATTTATTGTGTGGTTCCCGAGGACGTAGGTAGTTGCCGAACCTTGTTAAAACTTGGTGTACTTTTTCTATTCTGCGTTTCTGTTGCATTAGGGATTTCGGCGTTAAATTCCCAACATGGTACGGGGGTGTGCTAGGCAGCACTGATGGAAATCAGCTAATAGTTATGTATTATGTGTGTATAATTAATATTTGTTCCCAACAAAAGGCATATAGGCATAGTCCCGCTATGAGAATTAAATAAAAGTTAATAACAGTTTTCAAATAAAAAGACACCAGCTTTATTTCGGATGCAAGATTAAAAGTTTTAACCTATCATTAAATACTTCTAGCTGTTGGTGTATTGATTTGATCCTAAAATAGACTGAAACCCACCGAACAATTCCAACCCTTTCTCATCACATTTCAATTACACTGAAGGAGATTCGAATATATATACAAATATAACGTTCAGACAACTAACAAAATACCCAGCAAATATGTTTGCAATTTCAAGAAATTATGAATACGAGGCTGACCTGCATCTCTCGAACATCATCTCCTTCCGCTCCCTTCCTCAAGACTCTCCTATCTTTCGAAACCCTAGCCTCTTCAAACACCATCTCCTTAACTTCCCGAACATTCTCCTTCTTCTCCTCGCCCCGACCCGAAACCCTAACCTCTTCAAACACCATATCCCTGACATCAGCATCCTCGGCAAGCAACGGCCGCGCTCTGATCTCCGCATCGACCTCCTCCATCGCTCTCCCGCGCTCCAGCGCCTGGATCCTCGCCCTCAACGCCGCGATCTCCCGGATGAGGGACTCTCGTTCGAGATCGCGGCAACCGCGAATTCTTGCTGGCGACTCCAATCGAGCTGCTCCTCCATCCGGAGCAAAACCGTTGGCTGCCTGCTCCGGAGGCCAGCGAACCTCCTCTCGCTCCAGGATGAGGAGGAGGAGGAGGAGGGCGGGATGGGGGAGGCTCTGAGAGGAGATTAGGGTTAGGGTTTTTGGCGGATTTGAAAGGGGGGGACAAAACTGGATTTTGAGGCCGGGGGCGGTGGAGTCGCGGGGAAGGGAAGGAGGGAGAGTGGAGGCTGAGGCCATCGAGAGAGAGAGAGAGAAGAGGGAGTGGGGAATTGCGGGGAGTTGTGAAGGGATCGGGAGAGATATTATTTTAATAGCTATTTTATTTTTTTAAAATTATAAAGGGATCGAGAGGTAATTAATTCATTTGGTTTTTTTTTACGGTTTTACGGTGGCGTTCATCTGCCGCGACGCGTAAAAAGGGCAAATTTGTAATTGAATAAATGCAACGGTGTGAGTACGCGTATGTCTCTGCGTAAATTCTACGCTTATCTACGCTATTGAACATAGCATACTTACTCTCTTTAAAAGTACGAGTTTGGAAAATCTTTTTATGGTCAATATTATTCTTAACTTTTTTAAATATTACATTATTATCATAATCTATTCTAATTATCTTATCTTTTTTAAAATGGTAACTAAACGATTTATCATATTCATAATGAGACTTGACATGTTATTGGATAAAAACGATATATTTCATATAATTTATATCATTTACTTATTTAAGTTCGTAGAGAAATCTAAAAAACATATGCTAGCTAGCACTTAAATATTTTTAGACTTTGTAAAAAATATTCTTTAAATTTTTAAATTATAAAAACACCCCTACAAATTTAAAATTTTATTAAAACATCTTAAAAATTATAAATTTTACTTATTTCAATTCGGTGAGAAATCTGAAAAAACATATGCTAGTGAGAAACTAAAAGTTTTATGGCTTTGGAGAAAATATCTTGTAAATTTTAAAAATTGTAAAAACATCCTTAAAATTCAAAAATTATAAAAATACACCTTAAAATTTTCAAACCTATAAACACACTAAAAACCTACAAATAATACAAACAACCCCTAAAAATTTATAAAATTTACAATAAACACACTGAACTTTTTACAAATTATAAAATAAAACCCTCAAAATTATAAAATTTACAAAAATCCTGACAATTTCTAACCTAACAGTGCATTAAAAATATAGGAATAACAAATATCCCCTACATAATTTATAATTTATATAAAACACACTTAAAGTTTTAAAAATTACAAACGACCCCTTAAAATTTAAATTTTACAAAAACACCCTGCAATTTTAAACTCATTAGTAAATTAAAAGCATATGAATTATAAAATAGCCTATAAATAATTTACAATCTGTAGAAAATGACCATATGTTTAAAAAATTACCAAAACCCCTAAATTTTATAATTTATGAAAAAAACATCATGAGAATTTCTAACCTATAGACATTAAAATAAATATGCAAAATTACTAACAACCCCTAAAAAATTAAAATTTTGCAAAAAATATCATATTCCCTTTAAAAGTATAGGTTCACGAAAAACTTTTTATGGTCAATATTACCCATAACATTTTTAAAAAGAACATAACTAATTAAAAATCTATTAAATTTAAAATTTAGTACATTGCAAATTACCCCTCCAAAGTTTAAAAAATTTTAATATTTTTTTTATTCTTTCATTTCAATGTAATGTTTAATAGTTTTGTGTATTTGTAAATTATAAGATTTTAGGGTATTTTTCTACAATTTTTAAAACTTTTAAGGGTGTTTATTTTGTAGTTTTCTAAATTTTTATTGTGTTTTTAGTGTAATGCATAGATACTTCACTTAATAATGATATTAAAAAGTAAGTTATTCTTAAGACTATTAGACTATAGTTAAGTGTGCACATCACTATTCCTAGGCAGTATAATTTATATATGCAAAAAATTTCAAACAATCTACATAGTGGTTAAAAATATTTTTACTTAAATGTACTATTTTTTATAAATTTTATTTAATGTGAACCCACCTGAATTTGACTGTGGTCATCATAATTTTAATATGTTTGTTTGATTGACTATATATGTGTATAGATCATAAATTACTTTACTTTCTCACATGAGCTAATATTTGACGTTTAATAATTTAAATTATTATTACTTTTAAATTTAATATAAAAAGGAGCTTTAATAACATTTATTTATTTACCTACATGATAATCCAATCTCAATTCCTATTTTTTGTTTGAGATTTATTCTATAGTTACAAGTATTAAATTAGTAACTAAAATAATAATTATTTATGCTTAAATTAGGATGATTGTAGTTGGTCACTCACTATGCTTAAATTAGGATGATTGTAGTTGGTCACTCACTATGAAATTTTTATGAAGATATACACCTTACTTTCTATAGCTATTTGGATGATTGTAGTTGGTCACTCACTATGAAATTTTTATGAAGATATACACCTTACTTTCTATAGCTATTTGAACTACACATGTATATTTTATAAATTAGTTGTTAATTTGACATATTAAATTATTTTTCCTTTGAAGAAATTTCTTCTTTGACTTATGGACTGTGTAATCACTATATCATCATTTTAACGTAGAAAGAACCTCACTCTAAATGGTTTCAAGTCAATGTTTGAGTTAAACCGAAGTATATACTATTGCTACTATGTGTATATATTTTTTAAGAAAAGAATGTCAAAATTTTTAAAATAAAAGAAAATATTCTAACATTTGATATTATAAAATCAAAATATAGCCAATTGAGTGATTAACAAAAAAGAACTTACATCAGAAAAACGTTAATAATAAGATAAAGAGGAAAGGTAATGACACTGCCAACAATACTACAAATAGCAAACTACAATGTAAAGTTAACATATTTTGTGGAGACCACCTGATGGCTATAAGCATTAAGGTTTCCATATATATACTTTATAATTTATTAAAAATGGTCATATAATCTTATATAATAAAATTGATTCAGTACTGAATAATAATATCGTTATCAGGGTAAATTCTTCATGAACCAATATGTTCTTTACGATATATAAGTTATGCACTCCAATTTATTGGGTCTTTATGGAGCCAAAAAGTTTAAATACGACCCTCTAACATGTTGTTCTCACAACAGCAAAATCCACTTAGCAGCTGTGGATATTTCAGATGAGTTATATGTCTTATATACAATATAATTGCCCTAGGCAAATGAGTTATAATAGCATTTTTCATTCACATCGTTTGGCGTAAGATTTGATAGGGACATTGCATTAAAGAAAAAAAATTATATCTAGAGCTCATGGCGAAATATATCATAATCTCCTTGCTCTAATTTCGCAAGAAAATAATTCTTCATATTTTTAGTTTTACTTCTATGGTACAGAAAATGAGCTATAAAATTGAATAAGAATATTTTATAATATAAATATTAGTGAAATCACAACTAAAAGTTAACGTGAATATGAGTCAAACCACAACTAAAAGTTTAACGGACATATTGCAAGTAAATTCATATACAAAATTCCTTTGTGCATTGAATAATCACCCATCTTTTGAAGACTTTAATATACTAATAAATAGAGATATTGTACTAGATTAATGTGTTTATAACTCACAAATAGTAGATCACATGGCCACAGACTGTGTTGAAGGAAACAATGACAATATTTTATTTGAGAGAAAGATTATTGAGTTAATGATCAATCCAAAAAAAACATTATTTTCTTTTTTTATTTTTACTCTATTTTTATCAATTTAAATAATCATGATATTCAACCACGTGCATTGCACGTGCATCTCAACTAGCTTCTAAAATTGCCTGTGTGCGTTGTTTAATTGGTTTTTTTTTTTCAGATATATGGCTAAAGTAAAAAATGTTTTTTTTATTTTATCTCCGAAATCATTTTAAATCTAATTTGCCCCTCAAATTGGTTTGTTTTTTCAACATACCCTCCACGTTAACCGGCTTCAAATCTCTGACCGCTTTTAAGGATAAATTACCTTTGCATCCTTCTTCAATTATTTTTTAAAAAATCAGCAAATATAAAACTATGTAAACTCTAAATTCAAAATCATAATAAAAAAAATATGTATATATGATCATCCAAAGAGCCCCGGATCCTAATCGAATAGGACAAAAATTAACAATTGCATATCCACCCAACCATCAAAGAATACACACCAGTGTGGGTCAAATCCAGGGTGTTGTCAAGGAACGGTGAAAGAGCAAATTTATCCTCGATATCGTTGCCAACCGACACATCGGAAAATCGCAATGAGAAAAATCAGCTAACTTAGTTCACAAAAAAATTATAAAAACTAAAATAAGGGATTTTGCGATCAGTCGGTAAATATTTTTATTTTTTAAATTTATGTTTTATATCAGCCATCAGAAATTCGCAAAGATGATGATGACATTTTGACGTTTGTCGGAGATACGCTTTCGTCGCCGGGGAAATGGGGTCGGTGGTCGGTGGTCGGGAACTTCCTGGTGGAGAAGGAGGCGAAGGCAGAGGTGAATGTCACTTCCACTTCAGGAGGAGACGACGCATTGATATGCTATTTGGAGAGTAAGGAGGAATCTATTGTCAACACGTTCTAGTTGACTAGTTCAGTAGCCTGATCGTCTCCCACTCCGGCGTCTTCTTGCTGAAGAAACTCCCCACCACCCTCTCGTTCAGTAGCCTGATCACCTTCGGCGACTTCACGCACCTCGGCGTCTTGTACTGGTTCACCGACGATCCATGAGACACGTACAGGCCCATCAGAGCGTCGAACACGCCGCACTCGACCACCCTGATCTCCAGCGGCCCGATCGACCTGTCCTTTCTCCTGCACTGCCTGTAGACAGAATCAAGCGAGGCCTCGACGACGGAGCAGCACTCCTCAATGACAGAGGCATCGACGGTTGTGGTCGAGGGGGAGATTTCCCAGAAGAGGACGTAGTGGTCGGGGATGGAGGAGTTGTCGGCGTAGCTGGTGTACTCTGTGAGGAAGAGGTGGAGGGGGTGGAGGAGGCGGCGCTTGGCGGACGTGATGGCGTTGAGGAGGTCATCCTCGTTCGTCTTGTCAGTATCGACACTGAGCACAACGTTGCGGCGGTGGACGAAACGGAATTGTGGGGCGGCATTGTGGAATCCGGCCACCTGAAGGATGTCGCCAACCCGGTACCGGTACAGGCCTGCAAGGAAAATACGAACATGTAGGCTAAATTTTAATTCAAATCTAACTCAAAGAACTATATATCAAGTAATTCTCATTCATTGCATAAAATAGTACTACAGTAAAAATTTTCAATTCTAAATTGAAATGCACAAATCTAACGGCCTACTAATCTAATTGGACATATTTCTTTGATGTATCATTAATGCAAAGATAAAAGAACTAGAACGTGTTAGCAATATATGCATATAAAAATAAGCCTCACATATCATAGTATAATTTCAGTTAAGATTTTTTATTTAGGAAATTATTATTATCGTGTGATGATTAATACTAAATATCTGAAATGTAAATTCCTAATGTCACTTTGAACAAATAGAAGACAACTAGAGGTGTACATTGGACAAATCCAATTTAATGGTAATTTTAGTTTTCGAATGATTATTTATAAGGCAGAGGGATTGGATGGGCTTTAATTGATGGGCCAGCCTGTTAGGTCTATTGTGTGTTAAAAAGATAACTAACTAAAAATAGTAGACAGGTTATGACAACTGGGGATGTAGCTCAATGGAAGAGTACCAGCCTTTAACGCTTGTTATCGGGGATCAATACCCCGCATCTCCAAATTTTTTTTCCCCTAAAAAAAAATGACAAATAGTGGATTAGCCGCCTCTCTTCGCGGCAAAGACGGACGTTTGTACTTCGTGATGGGCCATGGCCCATTAACAATGGGGCTTCCGCTGCCCAACAGTAACATGTTGTGCTCATGAGAGAAAAAAAAAATATTTTGGGCTGTTTGTTCCCATCTACTTCTTTATTACCAAAGGAGAACAACAAAAAAGCTAAAATAAACAGTAACCAATTTAAAATTTCAAAATTATCTTCATTCATACTCTCTACTATCCAACCAACTTTTCACACAACCTTCTCTCTCCAATAACCAAACAGTAACTCCCACAATCAACGCATGTTCTCAATTCAAAAAAACCAACCTGTAGCTCCCACCTGCTTCTTTTCAATCACCCACGTTCTCAACCCAAAAAAACAACCTGTAACTCCCACCTGCTGCTTTTCCTTCAAAAAAAAAGTGATGTCGAAGTCGGGGCAAGCGAATTGAAAAGCCCCAGAGATGTTGACTTTATAAGCAGCCTTTCTCACTCTCCCTCGCGCTGTCACTCATGGTTCTCTTTCGCTCCGCTGCGACGCTCAGTTCATTGCCGATGTCGCTCATGTCGCTTCTGCTGCCTACGACACACTCTTACTCGGCCGCGGACTGTTCGCCTATGCGAGATATGGGAGCAAAGGGTCGATTCTTGGAGGTCTTTCTGTTGCCGCCTTCATGACTGTTGCCTACTACTTGATGCAATCGCCAGAGACTAAGGGCTTGTTTGGATTGAGGGGAATAAGGGTGAAGGGAAGTTAGGGGAACCATTCACCTCCATTCACCTTGTTTGGGAACACTTAGGAGGTGAAGTTAATTCAACCTAGTTCCCCTTGGTTCACCCCCTAATAGTATAAAATTTGTTACCTCCCAAATTGGGGGTGTAACCAAGGGGAAGGGAACTCCCTTCCCTTCCCTTCTCTCAGTTTCCCTTAACTTCCCTTCAACCCCTACAAATCCAAACAGGCCCTAAGCAAGCGGGCGATGTCATTGCATTTGGAGCTGCTTTCCTCTTTTATCCTGTCTTCGGCATAAGGTTAGCATCAACACGAAAGTTTATCCCGTCTGGACTTTTGCTGCTCATTTCTGTTGGTGCGTTAACTGTGTTCTACTCCGCCTATGTGCAAGATAAGATACCACAAGATATTGGTCCCATTTAGTCATAATTTGGATTTGGAACTTTTTGATTGGTTGATTGATTGGGGATTTTGTTGTAGATTGTTGCTAATCTTTGGAAAATGTATTTTATTTGGAAGTAGGCAAATTTGTGTTGGTGATATGAGATTTAATGGGACTATTACAAGTTAATGAGAATTGAATGGTTTTTAGATCCTAACCTCAATTATTACTCAGACAAGATTATATGCTTCAAACAAATATTACCCTCAAAAGAGAGTTTAATCTATTTACCAAAAAGCATGACACGTGCTTACGCATGAAATCTTTATTACCATTCTTTTAGGCTGTGATCGATAACCTTTGATAAATTGTGTCAGGTCAGTGTACGTTGATCCAATTTTGTACTAAAACAGACTATAACTAAACTAGAGGAAGGGTGGTTCGGAAAAGAAACAATTTAAAGGGCTATTTTTGGCTTAAGTAAAATTTCGTCATTTTTTGCCATGCTTTTTACGAAACAAGAAAAGCTCAAAACTAGATCAAGGTCAGTTAAGTTCAGACCCTGTTTTAGGGCTTGTTTGGATTGAGGGGAATGAGGGTGAAGGGAAGTTAGGGGAACCATTCACCTCCATTCACCTTGTTTGGGAATACTTAGGAGGTGAAGTTAATTCACCCTAGTTCCCCTTGGTTCACCCCCTAATAGTATAAAATTTGTTACCTCCCAAAATGGGGGTGTAACCAAGGGGAAGGGAACTCCCTTCCCTTCCCTTCTCTCAGTTTCCCTTAACTTCCCTTCAACCCCTACAAATCCAAACAGGCCCTAAGCAAGCGGGCGATGTCATTGCATTTGGAGCTGCTTTCCTCTTTTATCCTGTCTTCGGCATAAGGTTAGCATCAACACGAAAGTTTATCCCGTCTGGACTTTTGCTGCTCATTTCTGTTGGTGCGTTAACTGTGTTCTACTCCGCCTATGTGCAAGATAAGATACCACAAGATATTGGTCCCATTTAGTCATAATTTGGATTTGGAACTTTTTGATTGGTTGATTGATTGGGGATTTTGTTGTAGATTGTTGCTAATCTTTGGAAAATGTATTTTATTTGGAAGTAGGCAAATTTGTGTTGGTGATATGAGATTTAATGGGACTATTACAAGTTAATGAGAATTGAATGGTTTTTAGATCCTAACCTCAATTATTTAATTAATTATCCTTTTTTTGGAATATCTTTAATATTTCTTAAATTGTATCTGTGTTTAAGAAATGAAGAGACGTAAGCTAGATTGGTTATGTTGTCAATGACATAGGTTCATATTTTTTGATATCAATGTTATTAGTTTTTTCTTTTATGGTGATCATATGTATTTCTTTATTGAGGAGTTTGATTATTGATACTTTTTTAGATTTGTTAAGTAGTTTACGTAATAGGAGTTCCTGTTTGTATTGGGTATCAAGTGGCTGAATCATACATATTGTCAAAGAAGATAGCCACAGATACTCCTCAGTCTATTTCAAGTAAGTTTTCATACCATAGCTTTTGAATTGTAAATTTCTAAAGTTGACAAAGCTCACTGAGTTCTTAATTTAAGGTACCAATATTATAATGGAATGTGTTTTACATTTATCTATAGTTTGAGTATATTTTCATTGTTTTGAGCAAGCTAATAGCAATTTCAATGATTTGAGGGACTACTTTCATTAAATCATTAAATTAAAGAATTAATGAAAAGTTTGTGAATAAATATGGATTCTTGAATAAGAAAGAGAAATATAAAGTTAAAAGAAGAGTGAGTTTCATTGCAATTTTACTTCTTAGTTTCGATATTAGTCCCTTAAATATTTCTTTTTTTGAATTAGTCCCTTATATTGTTAAAACTGCTATTAGGTTCCCCAATTACTAAAATTAGACCTTCACATTATTGAAATCGTTATTAGGCCACCAATTTTCGTAAGGTGATTTAAATAATTGTCAATTTCAATAAAACACGGGGCTAATTTCGATATTATTTGGGAATAAGAACACCTAATAGCAATTTCACTGATTTGAGAGACCAGTTTCAAAATATTAAATATTTAAGGGACTAATATTAAAACTTGATATTATTTTTTGCTCATCTTTTTTTTAATTCTAATTAGTATTTCACAGATGAATGAATTCTAATTATTCGGTCCACTTCACCACTATACTTCATATCTAAAGCTAAATACTTTATTTTCGTAACATGTTCAATATTTACAGAAAATCTTTTAGAAACCGTGCTTTGCACGGGTCTAAATACTATTGTTTTAAATATTAAGAAAATTAGGTTAGTCATTTGTGTCAACTTCTTTCTCGTCTTCTACGCTTAACACGGTCACGTAGAGGTTTTGTAACAAAAACTATTTTGAGTTAACATGGATTATGCATAGAGTACACTGTACAGTTAACAAGAAATGTAGACGCAAACAGCAATAAATTTGATGACTAATTGTTTTTACGCCTCCGCACAATTTCCACACCGTAATACTCAAAATTCTCAACTCTAATATATTTTAGCTAGGTATAGTTTTTGTTAGCCTAAATAGTAAATATCACCCCTCCCCCCATGTTAGGGGGTTTGCTCGCCATTTTTTTTTTTTGGGTGGCGGGAGGTGGGGGTTTAGATATAAGCTCATGGGTTTATCCGAGAATCCCCCCAAAGTTCAGAGTGTCATGTGAACTTAACCCTTTAGTCATTTGATTATACATATAGTTAGTATTTATATATATACGTAGTACTATATATATATATATATATATATATATATATGTATATATATACACACACACTCTGAACTTTGGAAATGCATCGTGCACAATATGGAGAAATATGGAGAACACTTGGTACCAATTGCTTAAGGCAACGTGGTAGTTGATGTTGCCATAATTCTTCCGCCTACATCACACCCTCGAAAGATAGAGCACTCAAACCACCCTTCACCAACTTCCAATATAGATTGTATGGACAAGATTATGGCCCAGCATCACTACTCCAAGTTGTTTGGAGCAACTTGGTACCACAGTTTCTCTTTTCTCATATATATACTTATATTCCTGTTTTTGCTTTTTTCGCGGTGTCTTTGCTGCCTGTTCCCGCGGCGGTGGGGTGGTTTATATAGCCTATAGTGTACTATATACCGTATGGGTATAGCACTGAGGTCGTATATGAGAAGAATTAATGAGTTTCCATTGTCATAGGAGGGGAATTGCTGCCCATCATCTCCAAAGGTCAGAGTAAATATGCTATATTATATAGCTACTACCCAACGTATATATATATATATTATACTAGGTACCTATGCTACTAGGTCACTCATGTTATAATTATACTATGTACAGATCATCTTGCAAAAATTACCTCTACGTTCGATTTTGTCAATTTCCTGAGTTATGGAGTGTCATCGTGAAGCTTAACCCCTTTAGTCATTTGATTATACATATAGTTAGTATTTATATATATACGTAGTACTATATATTATATATATATTCATTATACTATTATATATATACACACCACACTCTGAACTTTGGAAATGCAATCGTGGGGCACAACTATGGAGGAAATATGGAGAACACTTGGTACCAATTGCTTAAGGCAACGTGGTAGTTGATGTTGCCATAATTCTTCCGCCTACATCACACCCTCGAAAGATAGAGCACTCAAACCACCCTTCACCAACTTCCAATATAGATTGTATGGACAAGATTATGGCCCAGCATCACTACTCCAAGTTGTTTGGAGCAACTTGGTACCACAGTTTCTCTTTTCTCATATATATACTTATATTCCTGTTTTTGCTTTTTTCGCGGTGTCTTTGCTGCCTGTTCCCGCGGCGGTGGGGTGGTTTATATAGCCTATAGTGTACTATATACCGTATGGGTATAGCACTGAGGTCGTATATGAGAAGAATTAATGAGTTTCCATTGTCATAGGAGGGGAATTGCTGCCCATCATCTCCAAAGGTCAGAGTAAATATGCTATATTATATAGCTACTACCCAACGTATATATATATATATTATACTAGGTACCTATGCTACTAGGTCACTCATGTTATAATTATACTATGTACAGATCATCTTGCAAAAATTACCTCTACGTTCGATTTTGTCAATTTCCTGAGTTATGGGGCTACAAAAGCCAAATAGTGCCTGTTCATATATCCTATTGTTTCACCTGTACTTTTCAGATATGAACTGTTACTTATATTTAGTAGAATACAATAATCCAAAATTTTTATAATTGACACTTTTTACAACCCTGTTACGTTATTTTTGGTGCACTTATGTACCCTAATATGTTTTTAAAACCGACACATAGGTTACACTAAAGTTTTGTTTAAACCTGGCATTTAAACATGCCAAATTTTTTTTAAAACGCGCACGTAGAATGACCATCGGAGTTTGCACTAAGCTACAGGGTATGGGTGTTTAA